CGTAACACTACGACTGTCGTTAATTTGATCGTAAAACTTTTTTAATGCCGGCGTCAGATATTGTAAGCCTCCTCAGGTAATATTATTTGCTCAGAATTTATATTACCTTACATAATTCTGTATATATATTACAGCATATATATTTACACAATTTTATTACCTTGTTTCTTGCATTAAATTTTCTGCGTTTAAGTCTTATGAAATTTCATTGCGTTATTTTGTATTCGCTCTTCCATTCTTTATTTGATAAATATTACTGGGATGGCCACATCTAGGACGGTGAATTGGGCCGGACATGTAGCTAATGTGTTTGTCGGGTGACAAATGCAAATAACTTTAACATCTGCAAGCCTTAAACGAGAAAATATTTTGGAGATCTAAGATTATTAGATAGGATGTTAATTTAAAATTTATCACAAAGTTGTAAAATATGACGCTGTATACTAGATTTATGTGGTTCAGTATTGGATCTTGTGTTAATTGTAATGAATCTGCTTGTTCCATAAAATGGGAGGAATATCTTTAACAGCTAAGCGACTGCCGATTTCTCTAGAAGAATTGTGATACATGGATTTTGATTTTAGAATTGTTTCGAGCTACATTTGTTTAATAATTATAGTAATTTAAAAACGTAGATTTCCTTTCGTAGGAAGTGTACACAATTTTTAAATAAATTTCAAACAAGAATTCTTTGCTTGTGATAAGAAATGGGCCGATAGCGTTCATTGATACTTTGGCCACGAGTGAGATTATTTAATCAAGCTAACATATCATTAATGTTAGATTTGTGTTTACGTAGCGTTTGTAAGCAGTTTCATGATGTTAATTTTACTGTAAAATGAACTGGAATATAATTCATTACAAATTAGAGTCAGTCCGTGGGGAATAAAATTAGCTGATTTTCAAATTAATCGGTCGATTTTCTGTGCTCATTGTCGTGTGTTCAAATGCTATTTGTTTTTTTTTAAATTCCAAGTTTGTGGATCATTATCATAATAGGTAAAAAAAGTTTTACAATTTAATTTGCTCATACAACAGAAACCAACACTTAAATTCAGTATAAAAGTACGTAATGTTTGTATTTGTCACTTGTTCAGTATTCCGCTTTATATTCTTGAAATTGTAGTAATTTTTCTGTTCACTTCTGGTCAGACAGGAGCATTTGCCACTGGTTAGGAGCCTGATAAATTGTCGGGAAGTTCAAAGTGAAACAAATGGTTATAGATCTATCTAATGAGTTATATAACCTTTATCTTTGTTGTTACCAGAGCATAAACGGGTTTTGTCTGTCTTGGAAATCGAGTTTGGTCTTCCCACTTATAAACTGGAGCCAAGTTTGTAACATTTAGTATTCGGATCACATTTCTTAACCGCTTTTCATTTCAATCCTTCATTTTTAAAGTTTGGCGTCTAAGTGCACTGCCCTTCCTAAATCATAGGCCCACTGAGTTCCTTTTAAAAAAAAATTATATCTTACTGCCCATCATCACATATTCTAACGTAGTTTCCGTAAGATGTGTATTGCGGAAAAAAGTGTGACCAATGATAATATGGATTACAGGCCGTTTTACTCCTAACATGAGTGAAGTTTGAATAAAATAATCGATTTCTGTTGTTGACAGTCTTATATAATGGCATTTAAATCTGTTTTATTTCAGTATTTTTAATTATTTATTATAAATATGGCGACTTATCATATTAGGTTCACGTGTTCGATACAGCCCTGAACTGATAATTTTTTTTTTCCTCGGAGGGAATGGGTTCTTTTAAACGTAGTAGATTTACGGCATGTAAAAAAAACCTTACGAGAGTGAACGAGATGTTTTGTAAGCAAAATAGAGCGGCCATTTCTCACACAAGTCTCTCCTGATTCACTACTAGATGGCTCTAGCAGGCGATTCAGGTTTGAGTAGAAATTGTACAGAGGCAGTGAGCTGGTCGCTCACTACTCATAGAATACAAAGAAACCTCTCACATCGGAGGAGTCAGCGTCAATCAACGTGAAAGTTTTATTTAAAACTCCTGCATTGAGACGCGTCTGGTATGCGTGCAGGTGAGTCCTGGCTTCCCCAAGGATAACCCGGAGGTGAGTACAATCCCGCTACGTGAGGACATCGCTCCTGAGGCTCTCCTCTGCTCGGTGAGTGGGTGGGGACTCCTCGGATACTCGGAAGGGATCATGCCGGAAAAGCTTCAGGTAGTCACTGTACCCTTCATCCGCCATGACAGGTGCCGGCTCATCTACGAAAACTACACCGAGGGGAGCGTTGAACCCGGCATGAACTGCGCCGGCTACCCGGAGGGTGGAAGAGACGCATGTGGGGTGAGTTTTGACTATTTGCTGTCACAGCGTTTCGGCGCTACATAATATTTCCGTCTTCAGATTAGTCCCAACTTAAAAAGAAGCTCTTTGCTGATTTTGCCAAATCATGTCCTACAATTTTACTGAGGGAAGGAGATTTGAGACGATAGAAGAGATTCAGGCAGAATCGCAGATGGTGCTTGACAGGCTGACAAAGAAAGATTTCCAGGGATGCTTCCAGGCTTGGCAGCGGCGGTGGGATCGTTGTGTTCACTCCCAGGGGAACTACTTCGAGGGTGATGGATGAATTTAATACCTGAGATAAGTGTACGGGTTTTTATAGGGGCAATCTAGAAACGTTCCGATCGCACCTCGTATTGCGGAAAAAAGTGTGACCAGTGATAACATGGATTACAGGCCGTTTTACTCCTACCATGATTAAAGCTTGAATAAATTAATCGATTTCTCTTGTTGGCAGTCTTATATCATGGCATTTAAATCTGTTTTATTTCAGTATTTTTAATTATTTATTATAAATATGGTGACTTATCATATTTCTGAAAGTGTATAACAAAAAATATTTTTCTGCGGAGGATCCTAATGTTTTGAGTAACATTAGATCTTTGATAAAATGCAGTTTTCGATAAAATATTTTGTTTTGAACTGGCAGATGATAGGGTAATTAGCAAAGGTACACTACTATAATCGTGTTTATGATTTTTAATTTTATTTTATTTTATTTAGACCTATTGATCGACCGTTGTACGATAGTAGGAACAAACCAGATTTTTGTCGGCGTATGTTATATAATTGTTACATGGCGACGATGCAAAATCTTGAGCTAATTCTGCCCCACTTTCTGTCCAAATATTGCATAAAGATTAAATGTGTGAATTATACAGTTCAAAATTCCGCCAGATAGATAGAAGCATTTGGTGGAAATCAATTATGATAAGGTTTTGTATGTCTGTCGTATATAACATACGCGTCTCTTGTTTCAGGACTGTGCGAAGTGGAGACAGGGCAGTCGAATATTATCGTAGACATCGAAGAGAGTCGAGGAACCCGTAAGTTGAACTTATAAATATCGATTATAAGATACAGTGAAATAAAGCTCTCTCTTTTCTTAAGCACAGCGCCATGAAGACGTATGGAGAAGTGGATGTACATCTCCATGCTTCACTAAAATTGGCAGTAGGTGGAGGTAAGTAGTAGGTTTTATATTCCATCATCCTTAATCCCCATTAGAGGACCCCTGGTACATATTGGGTAGGAGAGTGAGAAGTCCTGGGCCGATATAGACGCGGTGTCTAAGAGAAAAGTCTGCCCTTACCACGAATCAAATTCCGGTCTTCCAACTTTTCAGAAGTAATTTTACCAATTAATCTAGGCCATTAATATTTATTATATTATTTCTGAGCACTATTTTAATGAAATAACTCTATGACAGCAATTTACTAAACTTTTCACCTTCGTCTTTGTAGGAAATATACAG